GCGCGAAACTATTCCCAAAATAATATTAAACATAAACGAGATTCTGTGGCACGCACGGTGGTCTCATATTTTTGGGCATTTGTTGATTAAGAGACGTTTGTTGATTATAAAAATTCAAAAACATAAAAAAAACAAACAAAAAAGAACAATTATAATCAAGAAATGGATGCATCATTATTTGAGTCATATCGACACACACATACATATAATTGCATGTACATATGTAAATATATGCGGTCGATTCGTGTGGCTGCTATTGGGTCGGTATATATTACTTACTCATAAATCAAATGCTCGCCTCGAAAGTTTCGCGTCACTTGAGAGAAATAAAAACTCAGATATAGATTATATTATATCTGAAAACCTCTATTATAATTTTGCTGGTTTTAGCAATAATCGTTCAATTTGATAAGTATTTTATTTCCAATTCATATGTATGCCTCACAATGTTTTTGATGCATTTACTTTATTTATTATATGGCAAATAATATATATATGATCTATTAAAAGCATAAAAAATCCTTTGTCTGGACACTGATTGGCAATCATTACACACCCCAAACAGTAAGAGGTAGGATTCTGATATTTTCACACAAGGTGAGCACTAAGAAGTGCTTTTCAAAAATGTCAGCTCCCAAAGGAGGGAAATGAGCTCTTACTTGACATTTTTCGAACGATGAACTTCAAAGTTGCATTCCATAAATCTGTCAATGTACTTTTTGAAATACATATGCACATTTCAGTACGACCTGTGTATATGCTTTTCTATGCAATGTTAATCCACACTAACGGCAGATCATATTTAAATATCTGATATATCTGAGCACAAATTTGAGATCAGAGCCCAGAGTTACAGCAGTTAATACAAATTGCATTGAGTGGTAATGAGAAAAGGAGGGAGCTTCCTTCCCTAGATCTAAATCAATCTGTAACTTATATACTTTTCGATAAACCTAAAATTTGGAGAGAACACGTTGAGTACTTGTAGATATATTAAATTTATTGGAACAATTCTTAATTCTTCTTGTTTTCCAGTCGCAATATTTAGGGCGCTGAAGACCAGTGGCGAAGGTGGAATATTAGTTGTTCAGTTTTTATAAAACCATTTATTAATCGGATTATCGGGTTGACAGGTAGATGCTTGTCTTTCTCGATAGGAGAACAGAAAACATAATGGTTATATCTGGAAGTATCAGGTTCATGCAAATGTATACAAAAGGCAAGAGCCGAAATCATAGCTCTTATATATTGTACAAGTATGTGAGCAGCATGGAGAAACACAACGATATAGCAATGTCTATCTAGAGGAATTCTTGAATTTCGGAAACTTCTGAACCAATATTGGCCGAACTTTGTTTTATTTTAGTTTTTATTCAGTGTCGATGTTGTCTACAATTTGATTCAGAACGGTCAGGAAAAGCTGAAAGCCATCCAATTATGTACCAGTACTACACCCGCCAAGTCGACGTAGCTTTGCCTCTGCTATGTGCGCTAATAACAATGGTGAGTGCATTACTTAGTCGGTGTTGTTTGACTGTAACATTCTCTTTTGATTATTATAACATTCAAATTTATTTTGATTTATTTTCTCGAATTATTTCAGTCCAGTTATTTAGTTTTTAAACTTATTTATTTAAATATTGGCAAGCGGTTTATTGCTCAATTATTTCTTTAAAATTAAAAACTAAATAACGCGCGTAGTTTTCTATATTAATTACCAGTTTGTACTTTATATATTTGAAAAATGATCAAAAAGTGGCTTTGATGTCTTTAGACTTTAGTATGATAAGAGCAGTAATAATTATTTTAAAAGTGATATTTTGATCAACAAATTAGTCTTTAATCTAAGTCTATTATCTAGAAATCAAAAATAAACGGTCTATGTCTAATGCGATGCCGACAATCCTCTGGGAAAACAAATTGAAAATATTTTAATGAAAACCCCTATAAAAAATTTCTATGACTGGCAATTCCTTAATATAAATATAGCGGTTTTTTTTTCAGAACAAAATATTAAATAAAAAGAAAGAAAATCCAGAACTATGCTTTGCTGGCAATTTTTGTGTATAACACTGTTTGTACCGACGCTTATCAGCAAAAGTTTTTTACTAACATCGTACAAAAAAAAATAGTCAGAAATATGAGCGTGTGTTATACTCGTAGTTTATAAAAATATATATATAGTATAATAACAATTTAATTGCGATAATTTCTACACTACGCGTCGTCGCAAGCTGAGTTGTTCGATAGTGGAAAGCTGTATTTTGATTTGGACAGCGATCGTGGCAGCTGCGCGGCCTGAACGTATAGATTTTCATGCACACACACATATGTATATAAATATATTTATGTATATACCACTTATATTATATAGAGGTATTTATATATACAATATGGATTATGCACATAAATTTATAGTTTATACGAGTATATACCAACTTTGTACTTTGATATATTGTTGGCGAAAACAAGAGAAAAATACAATTTAAGCGCACGAAATAAAATCAATTTTTTTCGCCTGATAAGAGCGCAAAATATTTCCGCTTTTGAGTTGTTTTTTTTTTGTTGCTCACGCAATGCGCTAAAATTTTATTTTTATACTCATTTTCGTATTGTTTGCGCGATTGTCATACATTTTTTTATACACAATACAATAAGTATATATACAATATATGTATGCATATGTACGTTTTTTCGATAATTTCTTGCTTAATTTTTGTGCAACACAAGGGATTTCACATATCAGAGACTGTCTTGTCGTCGTTGGCGTCGGCGTCGGCGTCGGTGTCGGGCGCTTTATTCAATTTGGGTCAGAATTGTCAGCAGGCAAATGCCTCACGTTACTGCCTGATAAGGGGCAGAGCAGCGATGGCTTCGAGTTGGAGGTCTGGTGCTGAGATTGGAGATTGCGGACATGAATTAAGCTACGATAGCTTTAGCTGCTACGCTGACAATTCACGATCTCTCCACTAGATTGGACTTGGTTCGCACTTGGCGCTGCATTTTGGTGTTTCCGTTGCTGATTCCCAAAATCGTTTTCAATGAATGAATACAATATATGTATGTATGTCTTTGGCAAAATTACTTAATGCAGAAATTGTTACATTGATGGTAATACACGTTTCTTTTAGTCATCATAACAATTTCTGCATAAGCAGACATTATTTAACTTGAGACAAAAATGTTGACTCGTGATTTTGTTTTTTCAAAAATAAAACTAAATAAATGAAAATCAAAAGAAGATACTAAATTGCTTCGTTTTGAATAGCCCGTCATTTAACAGAATTCACATTTTCTTGTGGCTTCTTCATAAATTGTTTCAAAACAGTAAAGCTGACAGTTTAATTTAAGGAATGGCATTTGAATTATTTTATTTAATGGAAACTGAGAAAATATAACTAGAGATTATTTTTTTTCCAGTAAATACCGAAGAAAGCAAGATAAGAATATAACTTATTTCGAAGTAAGAAAGCAATTAAAAAATATTTTCAAAAGAGAAAGCCGTTGACGTACTTTGATAAGTAATATATTTAAGTTGTAAAAGAGGAGAGAATATTAATAAACTAATACTTTTATCTTAAAAATTCATCTTTTTTCTTTATGTTTAACATTCAGACATAAGTAGTTGCCAAGATTATAAAAAAGAGAATCGTGAATATTATTTAATTGACCAATACAAGTGAAAACTTATTGAATTTATTTATTAATTTAAAAATTTAATTCATCTTTTTGGGCAAGCCAGAAAATATATAAATTATGCAAATAACGAGTATTCATTATTTCCCACATCTACAAATCTGAAATATAATGAACTTTGTGGGAAGTCACATTGAAAAGTTGCTTGAACTTCTGTCCTCAAGTTTATTTGTCTATACACATGCATATGCATTATAATGTATGTATGTACGCTTTTATGTATGTATGCAGTCAACTGCGATCGTCTATATGTCGCCCATTGTGCTATGGATGTATACGTATATCTGATAGCCACACTCATTGTGTATCTTTGTTTACGCATTTTGCTTTTCTTATTGTTGATTATTTGGGCCTGATGTTTCATTTTTGCTTGCATTGAAGGACACAATGTCAGTGGGATGGCACACAAACTGAATTACTCAGATAACAGACCGCGTTACTTATGAAAACAGTAGTAAAGAGCCAGCGGCAGCAATTTTATATAAATTAGCAGCTCCTCTGCTGACTTATAATGCGTAGCGAGAGAGAATTAATGGACTCTGGTGCGATGGTTCTGGAATTTTTTTTTTTTAATAAATTTGTTGACCCGAAGAATGTACAGAAAGCTTGGCAAGGACCTTTAGTCTTATTGATTCAGTTGTGCGTTTCATTCGAAACTGAAAGAATCGGTATTTCGGTAACTTTTTTTCAACATAATGAAACAATCTAGATTTTCCTTATCAACCCATAACGCTGTACCCTTTTTAAATAGGTCATATAATGGATTACCTAACAAAGGATAGTATTATATGATTAGCCTTCATGCTATCTCTCGTTATCAAGGATCATTTAGAATGTTAGCCGCATGAACTCACATTTATCGTAGCCCTTTCTTGTTCAACACAGGTCTTCTGAAAACCTCTCTCTGTACTCTTAACGTCGTCCATATACATAATACACTTGCCGTCTTTTATATTGTATGTTTATGAAGTTTTGTATCAAACGATGTATACTATATGGAATCTTTAACTATATAGACATGGAAAACCTATATTTACATAAGATCACATTTTCAGTGGAAAGATTTGGTATAAATACGTTTCAATTTATTTCTAGAGATCTATAAATTTCTATCTCCTAGAGTATTTCTAGAGGTCTATATCTTCTAGAGTACTAGTATAATAAGTTGAAGAGAAGTCGAACATACTTTTTTGCGCGTCTTCTCAACCGCCCAGATATGAAAGTTAATCAAATTAATAAATTGTATAAATATTTACCTATGAATTATTAAAAAAAAGAGAGGTGCTTTAATAACAGATACGTACATATTTCATAGCTGCTGATGTGCATAGCATCACATATATTTGTCTTAAATTATTTTTGCCCAACAGCGAAATAGATGCGGATGCGGATGATGCTGCCAATGCTGCAATGGTGGCTCCACACTTGCGTTTGGGGGCAATGCAGGCGGTGGCACGATGTGGCAGAGTTGAAGAGCAGCACAAATTCTGCAGCAGCTGCCACTGCTCCTCCTCCTGCTTCTCCTCCTCCTCTTGTTGTTGTTATTGCAGTTGTATATATATGTTTAATTTGTATATGTTGTGCCCTTTTTATATACAATGTATATGTATAAATTCCTTTTTTTATGTTTGCCGTAAATTTATATTTTTTGGTGCGCGCACAAAAGGCGGAATACAGGCAATTATTATAGCTGTTAATGTTGCTGTTGTTGTTGTTTTGCACTTTTTTGCAATTTATTTGTATTTTTTTTGGCTGTTGGTTGTAATTTTATGTGGAGCACAAAGTAAATAATATCCAGCGTAAAAATGAAGCGACTTCTCTTTCTTTTTCCCCGTTGAACAATTTTTTTTTGGTATTTTATTTTCGACCTTTTTTCGTTCAATTTACAGACAGCGGCAAATGTGTGTGTTTGTTGTCGTAGTTGCACTTGTTGTTGTTGTTGTGTGCATGCTTATTATAATAATTATTATTTTGTAATATTTTTTATTGAATTTGTTCGCTTGCTGATATGTTTTATTATAATAATAGTTTATATTATTTATATAAGGTGAACAATAATTCAAAAGTAACAGCTACTTTTTTAATTATTTTTCTAGTTCTTGTTGCTGTTGTTTCATCGTTTATTTAGCTCTTTATGTTTTAATTGATTGCACTTTTTATTTCTGGTTATGTTACTTTTGTTTTTGTTTTTTGTTTTTGTTTTTATGCCTTGCAAATTCAACTCAACAAAAATATATAAACAAAGGTATTGTTATTGTTGCAGTTGTTTTTGTTGTTGTTGTTGCTGCTGATATTATTTATGTTTCTGTTAAAAATCTACGAATGATACAAAAAATTAAGATTGTGGCTTGAGAGTTATGTGAGGAGCATGACTCTGGCACTAAACACTGCACTTTTGTTGATAAGCTAAAGAATTTTTGTTTGATATACCCGTACATATTATTCATATTTATTGCTGGCCAACTATTTAAGCTATTTTAACTGATTTAATAGATTTGTATAAAGCTTAATCACGTCTACAGTTGCACGTCAGATTGCGTCTGGATTTGATGGTAAACTTCATTCGGTCTATGAGCTTCATAAAAAAATGCAGTGAACTGCTAAATGAAATTAGCAAACGGCAGTCAGAAAGTCCGGCAGGTCCAGCCAGACTTTCTGGCTGGGCTCAGCAGAAAAAACTCTACCGAACAAAAGCAAAAAATTATTGGAGAGGCAAACTCGAGCAGTAGCAGCAAAAGCAACAAAACCATTGTAAATAGTAATTTAAGTTTCGGACAAAAAAGGATGTGCCAAAAACAAAAAACGAACCGAGAATCGTGAAAAAACGTGAAAAATGAAAAATGCGAATACGAACGGAAGGTGAGAGAGGCAAAGAAATAAGCAAAATCAAATGCAGCGCACAATGGTCTTCAGTTTTCTGAAAGCAGCTACTCTTAGCTATACATTAACCCATTGGAAATGAACCCACTGAAGTGGCTGGACGCAATACAGCAAGTTTGTCATTAATGTAAAAATTAATGAACACATATTGGAAAATTCAATGAATTTTTATAAAAATATTGTTTTATGTCTTGCAAATGCTTAGAATATGTTGGCTTCGATCAATTCGATAAAAATAGGCACAAACTAGCCCTAGAACTACAGCCCTCCACGAACTCCCTGCGAAAAAAATATGATTTCAGGGAGTATAGTGCTGATATCTGTCGAATTTAAGCTAATAGATAACATCCATGTTCCTATACTTGTAGAGCAACCATTAAACAACAGCAGCACTATAGATGTGCTTTAAATTCTCCTAGAATGATTAGGAATGTTTTTTTTTTTATTTTCTCGAAACTAATTTTAAAATAAATTGTTGAATTACTAAGAAACGTAATCATAATTGATAAATGAATTAGCATTGTCAACTTGTCAAAATCTTTAAATATTTTTGAGTATTTATCAGATAGTCTTGAGCCCCATATGAGATGGGATGTAGAAAAGAATAAACAATGCCTCAAGTATTCAAAATTATATATATTGAATAAAAATTTTTGTTGCGTTTGGAGGATACTGCACCTAACGCGAATCGACGTTTCAGAACTAATGGGTTAAATATGTCGCTTTTAGCTGCCGCGCAGCTGCAGCTCATGGACAATTCGTTGTGGACCAGCCACAGAAGTTTGAGCAATTTGAAAAAAAAAATGAATTTTTTGGCTATTTAATTTGAGATTTTTTCCAGCATATCTGCTATTTTTTGCATGCTTTTTAGTTTTTTGTTTTCCGTTTCTTTTCATTATGTAGCGCCAGTGCCCGACGGCAAAGTAAATGCCCGGCTAGAGTCAGAAGGGAGATGGAGGTAGGTGCCAGCTACATAGCTGGGGCATTGTCATGACCGAGTTGAGGGCCGAGCCAGGACGGGACGGGCTGGGCCGGGAGGCAAGTGCTTAAGCTGCTGGCGTCTGCTGACGAAAATTGAGACTGACAAAAATTTGTTACATTTGCCACTACTCTGCTATGTGCATAAAAAGTTGAACGGTAGCAGCATCAGCAGTCCCCAAAAAATTCAGAGTACACTTTATTACTCCAGTACTTTGTTTCATTTTTGACTGTTTGTTTGTTTTCTTTCTTTTACAATTTTGTTTTTTTTTTTTTTTGATGATGCTGGTTTTTGAAGTTTTCTGCAGTTCATTTGCATGACAACCTTTTGTGATTTGTGTTTTGTATTATTGTTGGTAGCATATTAATATTTGTAGTTTGAGTTTTGTTATATTTTCGTTTGTGTGTGTTAACGGAATTGGGTATGGTGCTAATGAATTTCGCGCGCTATTTTTTACGAAACGGAACAAAAGTGCAGTGAAAAGTGTAGTGTTGGTGTGATATTGAAATGTTTTTCAATGCGTTTCACACAAATTACGAACTGTGCCGATCAAATTGACTCAAAATCAATTAAAATTTCATTGCACATTTCTATTTAATTTGCTTAAATTTTTTTTTCAATATTTGTACTGCAAATTTAAATTATTAAGAACTTTTTTTTTGAGAATCACATTTTTTGAAATCTATTTTGTCGTTTATTATTAACAATAATTTACACACGCACACACATTGAAGGGGCACATACACACATGCACACGCACACACGTCGCGTCGCGGGCAGTGCAAGTGCAACTATTCAACCAAAAGACCGAAATAAAAATGCATTCTAAAAAATTTCGCGAGTGCGCGAAAAAAACGTTTTCCGCATTTTGCATGACGACCGACAACCGACAACAACGACGACTGCTACGACGACGGCTGCGACGTCGACGGCAGCAGAAGCAGCAGCGGCGGCGAGAGCTCATACAAACACACAGACAGACAGACACACACAACAATTTATGTATGTAAGTATGTGTCTACGTATGTATGTGTGTTTCCAGCGACTTCATTGTGCCGTTGCTGCTGTTGTTGTTCTTGTTGTTGTTGCGCTGCTCTGCTAGACAACACCTCAAGAACAATCAAGAACAACAAAAACATCAGCAACAATAATGACTTGTCAATGAAAGTTGAGCGCAACAAACGCACTTGATAGCGTGCATTGCCCAAAAAACTGAAGTACAATGCGTCGTATACGCAATATATAAAACATTCTTAAAGAAACGCGTTTCGTACAATTGAATGGAATGTCTTCATAATTGCACACAACATTTAGCAAGTATTTGCATAGGTGTGGGTGTGTGTATGTGTGAGACACGACGGAACAATAAACAGCGGCGAAAGTTGAAATCACAACACTATTTCGTTCTAAATGTTATTGTTTTAGGAAAGCATACACGGCTTGAAATTCTATAATTAATGTAGGCACAAATGTTGTATTATTTGAAAATATTATTTAAACATTATATACTGCTTTTAAATTATTTATTTATTTTTATTATATTTTATTTATGATGATTAATGAACAATATGCAATTGCAAAATGCATTTACGATTGATAAACGCGATCGTCGGACGCTACACCTCGGAACGACTCGGGCCGCGTCCGAAAATGCGTTCCGTTGCATATCGGATGCGTTGTGTTTATGCGACTGCCGAAGCCGACTGCAAAATTATATCACAACAACACGAAGACAACGACAGCGACTGCGACAGCAACAGCAGCGACGACGTCGACGTTAGCGCCAGCGTCGACTACGTCAAAAAATTGCATATAAGCGCATTCATACCATTAAAAAACTAGAATGAACTGAGAACTTGACAATGAGCGCAAGATGCAGGAGACAATTGCTAGCGAGAGAGTGCCAGAGTCAGAGACAGAGTCTAAGCCATGAGCCATGAACGTAAGAGAGAGAGCGTGTTGAGTTTTTTGAGTGGCGCGCAAACGCGAGAACTTTAGGAGTATTGGGGTGTAAGGCAAAAGCAGCAACGACAACAACGGTAAGAACATTTAAGCTGAGCGTGTAAGCTCTATTGAGAGAGCATGGCGATGCAACTGCAACTGCAACCGGAGAATAACAACTACAACTACAAAAACAGTAACTGAAAGGCAGCTGCAGCAGCGCCAGCGCGCATTGATAAAAAGCCAGGCGACTTCGACTCTGCGCGCTGCCAAAATAAATAGCCGGTGTCTGTCTGAGTCGTTCGGTTTCTTGTTGACAATTGCATTTAAGGCATAAAAAATAAAATAAACAAGTAAAGCGATATTAAATCCACTCAAAATTATTAGCCATATGCTAACGCACACACACCATGCTAGAATAATACCAATACATGGGCATACATAAATTCACCACATTTTTTGTTGTTTGTGTTTTATTTAATTTGCTCATTGCTGGTTAACAAGCAACGTCACACACACACACACACATATCCATGTGCAAGGGACCACACACATACTCACACACTTATGAACTGTAATGCTAAAGGGATTGCATTGTATTGCTT